GTGTGTGTGTGTGTGTGTAAAAGAGCAGATGCCCTTAGGACTTGTGTGTGTAAGAGAGCAGATACCCAGGACTGCGCGCGCGCGCGCGTGTGTGTGTGTGTGTGTGTGTGTGTGTGTGTGTGTGTGTGTGTGTGTAAGTGTAAGAAGAGCAGACGTGGCCTTCCTTCATGGGCATAGAGGCTCAGGGGCCTTGGTTCACTCCAGGGTATTTTACCTGCCTCATTACCAACCCATAGCGTTTTCTCTAAAATGGTGGAGACCATGATGGCGCACGCCTTTAATCCCAGCACTCTGCAGGCAGAGGCAGGCAAATCTCTGAGTTCGAGGCCAGCATGGTCTATAGAGCAAGTTCCAGAACTGCCCGAGCTACACAGAGAAACCCTGTCTCAAACAAACAAACAAACAAACAATTAACAGTGGAGATACTGGACAGCTTCGAGTTTCCTGAACCCAGACGTCAGAACTGGCAACTATTGAAAGAAACCGGAGCTTTCTGAAAATTCATTTGGGTTGATTATGTATGGAATGCCAGTGTTTTCAGTGTTGCCAGGACCCTGCTTTTAGGTCTCGTGACAAAATTCATGGAACACTTTACAGGTGTGTGTGTGTGACACACATGTGAGTCTAGCTATCTGAAGAGGTCAGAGGTGTTGGATCTGGAGCTAGAGCTGATTGTGACCTGCCTGACATGGAACCAAATTTAGATTCCCTGCAAGAGCAGTTCTTAACAGATGAGTCTTCTCTCTGGCCTTCGTTAGAGAAGATCTTTGCTGTGTGTGTGTGTGTGTGTGTAGGGGGAAACACATCCAGAGTTTTGTGCATTGAAGCCTCAGAGCTGGTGTTTCACTGCTAAACTCCATGCACTTCTGCCTGTGAGCCATTTTGTTAGTCACAGGTTGAGGAAGCTGTACTCATCCATACTACGTCCCTTCTTTTTCAGGAGTCAGCTGTCGGCATTACAGTGTTCTTTTCGGCCTTTTTCATCCCAGCTGCATATGTGCTAAGCAAACTGAAGGAGTTCAAAGGAGAGTAGATGACAGTGAGCAGCACCTCAGGCTCAAAATGCTTTTGTTACAAGCCACGGCCCCTTGGCATGAGAAAAATTGCTTAGTTGAACCTGTTGTGAATATTCAGTTTTATAACTGCATGTCTGTGATGTTCTGCACTCACCCACCCCCAACCCCACCCCCACTCCCCGGGACTGCATTATATGGATGGCAAAAATGATCTGCTTAAGTGTTAAGTAAAAAGGAAGCACTTGCTTTGTGCCTGGTATTATTATCGTTTGTGCTTTTTTGGGCTTGAAATGCTAGGGATCCCACCCAGGGTCTCCTGCACGACAGGCACTCTACCATATAGCTACACCCCTAGCCTTTAGACATTGTTTTCTAAACATCATGAAGGCTATTAAAAACTTACTAATGAAAAAAATATAATGAGAAAAAAATGATATTGCTATGAAAGTTTGCACTTGGTGATTCTGAGTGATGTGGAGCATTTTGTGGAGGTGAACCAACTATGAGAGATTAAACGTGCTTTAAGGCACTATACATTTAGCCAAATGTTTTTCATGTTTTGCCGGTCTCACTTTTGGTGTGAGAAATATGACTTTCTTGTGCATGGCCTGGGAATGGAACCCAAGGCCTCCACGTGGGAGATTCCTGGTCTTGTTAGTTCCTCTGGTGGAGAAAAACACCACTGCCACAATCAGATGCTAAATTTGAAGCAAACTTTAATTAAATAAATGGCCAGGTTGATGGACTCTCTGGCCAGGTCCATCTGTGGGTTCCCAGAAAATGGACACACATCACAGTTTGTAGGGGCTTAAAAAGTCAAACCCCACAATCAACATTTCCCATCAGGTCCAGTCAGGGGCAAGCATACATCCTGAAATATTACCTGAAGGGGAACCTCCTGCCCACAGAAGATCAAGCATATCCAGGGCAAATGGGTCAAGCAAACATAGGACAAACAGGAACTTATTCTGAACTGTAAACAGAACCTTTAACCTGCATGGTCTATTTTTCCTGTGTTGGTCTCACACTCTAGCTCTCTGAGTTTCAGTTCTGTAACTATTTATCTTTCCAAGCTTTGTTTACTACATGCACATAGTCACTCTCCTAATTTCTGATTTTGTTGTTTTTAATCATCTTTCAAGTTTGGCACATTACATGTATACACAGCTGTATTCATTATTTTTATTGTTGCTATGACCAAATCCCAAAGGAAGCAGTGTAAAGAGGGAATGACTTATTTTGGCTCATGGTTTTATCTGTCTTGCATGTGGGATAGTGTGGCAAAGTAGAGCATTTCAGTCATGGTGATCGAGAAATAGAGAGGAGTGCTACAGAAAGTGGCTGAGGTGGGGGATAAAACCTCAGGGGTACACTCAGACCTTGTGAGAACTTCTTCCTCCAACTAGGCCCTCTTTCCTCTACATAGTGTTCTCTCTCTCTCTCTCTCTCTCTCTCTCTCTCTCTCTCTCTCTCTCTCTCCCTCTTTCCTTCCCTCCCTTCCCTTCCCTTTTTTTTTTCTCAAGACAGGGTCTCTCTGTGTGTAACCCTGGCTGTCCTGGAACTCGCTCTGTAGATCAAGCTAGCCGCTAACCCAGAGATCCACCTGCTCTGCCTCTTGCTGGCATTAAAGGCGTATACCACCACCGTCCTCTCCCAGTGACCTCCTGATACTATGAATCCATCAAAGGATTAAACCATTGATCAGATTGGAGCTTTCAATATCCAATCCCTTCATGAAACTCCATCAACTGGCTACAAAGCCCCTAATACTTGAGCCTATTGAGGGGACATTTCATAGTCAAGCTATCATATCTTTTAAAAAAAGTTATTTATGTACATGTGCCATGACGTGGAAGTCAGAGAGCAACTTCCAGGCATCGGTTTTCTTCTTCCACTATGTGGGCTCTGGGGAGTTACACTAGAGTTGTCAGGCTTGACAGCGAGTGCCTTTACTCACTGAGCCTCTCGACAGCCTGCCCACCTTTGAATTTTTGGTTTACTGTGTAGCTATGGTGTGACTGAACAGTACCCTTCACCTCTAAGCCTCATTTCCTTGTCTCTGAAATAGGGACTCAGAATTACTTTTTTGAAGGGATTTTGTGGGGATGAATTAACTTGATGAACAAAGAAAAAATAGTTTTCAGCATAGTGCTTGAAAGTAAATAAATAGAGGTTCTTGTTAGATATGTTTGCTAATGTTCATTTCACGCATACTGTATTCCTGTGATGTATTAAGTATTATCTAAGAGCAATAACCCAACACATAGGTCATGGTGCTTCATGGGCCTAAACATTTTAGAAAATTTGCATTTGATTACTCTGGTTTTCTATTTCTATTTCAAAATTTTTGTTGGGAGCCAGGTGTGGTGGTGCACAACTGTAATCCTAGCACTAAGGAGGCTGGGACAGGAGGATCATAAACTTGAAGCTAGCCTGGCCTATAGAGGAAGAGCTTTTCTTCCTAACCTTCAAAAACAAAAAGAACAATTTGGGCTTTTGTTAGGGTTTTCCAGAGAAACATCCAATAGAGTGTGTCTGTTCACATAGGCACACATGTGTATGTGTGTGATTGTGTGTACATATTAACTGGTTTATGGATTTACTATGTGTAGTTATAGATGCTGGTAAATTCAAAATTTGCAGGGCAATGTAGGTTGAAGGCACAGTATAAAGTTGTAGTTAAGTCTGAAGACAGTTTGCTCTTTGGGGAAGACCTGTTTCTGAAGGGCTTTAGGGGAGTTTATTTGTTAGGTTTGGTTTGTGGTGAACACAGGGCCTTGTTTGTGCTAAGCAAGCACTTTGCTGCATTCCAAAATTCAGCTTTGCCAAGCGTTGGTGGCACACGCCTTTAATCCCAGCACTCAGGTGACAGAGGCAGGCAGATTTCTGTGAGTTCGGTGCCAGCTTGGTCTACAGAGTGAATTTCAGGACAGGCTCCAAAGCAATACTGTCTCAATACTCGAAAGAAACCCTGTCTCAAAAAACAAAATAAAACTTTTTTTTTTTATTTTTTGAGGACGTTTCTCTCTCTGTAGCTCTGGGTGTCCTGGAACTCACTATGAAGACTAACTCATTATTTTTGTGTTAGTCTTAGTCCCATTTCCTCTTGATTTAAATTTATTCTCTCTATTCTTATTCCATCAGACAACTTAAATTACCATATGCATTTTTATTACTCCTAAATCAATCTGTGCCATTGATCTTTCTATTAAGGTCCAGGTAGTTAGGTCTGCCTGCTTACAGTTTCTTGCTGAATATGTATAGACAGTGGCAATTTCAAACTTGAAGCCTGCAGTCTCAGCACTTGGGTAGTGAGGCAGAAGGAAGAGAAAATTGAAGCCAACCTTTGCTACATAGTGAGCTTGAGATTAGCCTGTGCTGCCCGAGATCCTCATATAAACTAAAAGGAGTAAACAGATCCAAATCTGAAAAATCTTCCTCCAAGCTTTGTCTTTTTACCCATTTTTCCAGTATTTGAGCACATCCTGTGCAAACATCTATCTCAAAAATATTTACATTAATTACATTATGATTCACAACAGAGGCAAAATTCCAGTTATGAAATAGCAATGAAAATAATTTTATGGCTGGGGGTCATCAGGACATGAAGAACAGTATTAAAGTGTTGAAGCATTAGGAAGGTTGAGAACTATTCTAGAGGGAGAGGTAGACAGCCATGTTGCCTTAAGTACATCATCACAAATAGTGTATGAAGAACATCTTGGGACCTGACAAGCTGGGAGAGGAAAGCATTACATATGGTGTGTGAGATCTCAAAGATAAATGAAGACTGGGAGGAAAGTGCCGGTTTAGACAAAAGGAACATCATAAATGAGATTCTGAAGGACATGTTAACTTTCAACAAGACCAAAAGACACACAGGGCTTGGGTGACATAGAAGGTGATAAAGGAAAGTGATGATGGAGCAGGTGAACAAACCATGAGTTGATTTTCTAGTTCACATCATGGGTGTTTAAATGTTACCATAAGGAGTCAGCTGTGTGGTGCACATCTGTGTATCATCTAAGCACGTGGGAGGGAATTCAGAGCCAGGCTGTGCTACGCAGTGAGACCTTGTTTCAAAAGGAGATAGGTGATCATAAATCCAGGTGAGCTTTGAAAGGCTTTCAATACGAAGATGATGGTTTTGGTAAACTAGCCCTAAGATAGCTTTGGAAAGTAAATACATCAAGAAGTAGAACATGTTTTCCTCAAAATTCCCCAAAACAACCTACAAATTGAATATAGTCTCTTTCACAGTTACAATGGCACTCTTGACAGAAATAGGAAAAAGTCTTAACATTTATATGGAGATACCAAAACCTAGATCAGCCAAAGCATTTCCTAGCAAAAAGAGCAATACTGAAAGTATCACAATCCTTGACTTCAAACTACAATAAAAGAGTCACAGTAACTGTAACAGAATGGCTCAGACACAAAAATGGATCAATGGAAGAGTACAGAATATCTAGAAATAATCCCACACAGGCATAGTTTTCTGTTCTTGACAAACATTCATTTAAAAAAGCATCTTTAATAAATGTCACTGGAAAAACTGGATATCTATACATATAAGCTTGAAATTAGATTCACCTCATTTTGTATAAAAACCAACCTGGATATATACTGAAGACCAAAGTTGGACTGACTGAATAAAATACCTTAATGGAAGACCTAAAATCTTCAAATTGTTAGAAGAAAATGAATAAATGCTTCAAGATCTAGGCATAGGCAATGGGTTTGTGAGTTTGTGAGTAAGACTGCAATGGCTCAGTAAATATCATGAATGACAAATGGACTTGAATTAAAACTATGCATAGTGAAAAAATCTATAGAATGGAAGAAAATCTTTGCTAACTGTATATGATGGGACTCATACTCAGAATGTATAAAAACTGAAAATCACCAAAATCAGTAAATGGACAAGTATCTGAATAGACACTTTTCAAATGAAGTACAATGATCCAATGAAGACATGAAAAGAAAATAATTCAGGAAATGGAGCTATAGCTCAATG